CAAGCAATATGATTAAGAAAAGCAACCATCCAAGACAAGATGAATAACTCACAATAATCATTTAAAACATTCAACATTCATTACAACAAAAATGAGGCTCTTGACCATGGAAAGACTATCAAAAATACATTGTAATCCCCAAAAATAAACTATACTAACGCATGCTTACAAGGGAGGGGTTTCATCACCTCCCTAGATGAGGTTTAGTTACCCATTGGTGAGCTAGAAGAAGGAAGAAGCATCATCCTCATCTCCATTTTCGAGCTCCTACTGTAGCACTCAAGAACACCCTTCTCCTTGCTCTCTTCTCTCTCCTTTCTCTTGCTCAAGATAAAGCTTGATCATATATGTGGCCTTTGGGTAGCCTTTTATGCTCCAACAATACCCTCTCTCCTCCAAGGAACACCTCCAACCACTTCATAAAGAAGGAAGATGGCATTGAGGAAACCAATGTGCAAGTGGGCTGAAATGAGCCATTTCCGAAGGGCATTCTGCCTGATTTTCGAGCACACGCTTGGTGACTTCGAGCACTCTAACTTAGTGCAATGTGCAACATGCTCCTCTTGCTCAGTGCTGACCTATTTTGGGAAAACTGCTATAACTTTGTGCCCCAAACTCCGAATGACGATCTGTTTGAAGCTTTGGAGAGCTGATTCAGTGCTTTAAAAACTTCATGTTTTGATGAAGACCCAATTCTCAAGTCTGGTTGGTCGAAAATGGGGAGAAAGGCAGTACATCAGTGCTGCTAGGCAGTTCTGCGCACCTCTGTTGTGAAGATCATAACTCTCTGCTCCGAACTCCGAATGATGAACCACTTGAAGATTTGGAAAGCTGATTCAGAGCTCTAAATCTTTCATGTTATGAGGGAAGTCCAGTTCTCGAGTTTGGAAGGTCAAAATGGCAAGCAAAGTCCAGGCTCTACTGCTGCCAGAATTCAGCATTGGCACCTTTTGTTGCTCAGGATTCCACAAGGCCTTATTCTTGTTCCATTTTGGCCAATGAACCTGAAAATGCATAAAAACATAGAATTGGAGTTAATCTACATAAAATAATTAATAACTGGACTTTGTTATTCGGCGCTTATCAGTGATATGCACTACAAAGTGTTAACACCTAAAATATAGTTCGAGGCAATTATGCCACGTGGTCAAAGAATATGAGGTCCGAACCTTGGGTCAACCTATGATCATTAGGGTGAAAGATTAATTTCTAATCAGGGTGATCAGGTTTAAGGTTGGGAATTAAGAAGAGTGGATTTTTTAGGCCATTAAAGCTGAGATGAGGTTTGGAGCTTATAACAGGTCACGATTGGGACTCTCAGTCTTAACGGTCATGATCATGAGTTTAGGCCAAAACTTTCTCAGTCAGTATGGTTATGACTTTCAGTCTCAATGGTCATGATCATGAGTCACATTAAAATGTGGGCCACTCAGTAACAACGATTGGTATAAAATGAAGCTATTCTCTAATACCCTCACTGAGACTGCCTTCAAGTGGTATCTAAACTTGCCACCAAATTCCATCCACACTTGGCAACAGTTGCAGGATGTGTTCCATGATCAGTTTTATAGGACAGAACCAGAAGTCTCTATGTCCGACCTATCTAGGATCCATCAGTTACCAAATGAGGATGTTGAGACATTTTTGGCTAGGTTTAAGAAGGCACGAAATAGGTGCCAACTTACTTTGCCTGAAGAAGAGTTTGTCAACTTGGCCCTTAGCGGTTTAGACTTTGAATTACGAAAGAAGTTCGAGGATTAGCCGATAGGGTTACCAAGTATGAAAAAATCTTACGAGAGGAAAACGAGAGGAAAAACTCCTCTCGGGGGACCTCTTATAAGGACCCTAATTATGAGATACACATAGTTGATACAGTATATGATGACCTAAAGGTCGATGCTATTGAAATTATTTCAAAAAAACCATATGTATGTAAAGCTTTAGCTAAGCCTGAATTGATTTTGAGGATACTTCAGCTAACAGAGAAAGCAAGGCTGAAGGAAAGAAGCCAATGGTTAAGGAAACTCCAAGGTCTAAGGATGACTTAGAAAAGGAGTTGCGGGAGGCTCAACTGGCGCTGATCAAGCAAGGATTATGCCCTAAATGCAAGACAGACATTGGAAGGGACCGAGAGAGGTTCCATAGCGACACTCGAGGATGTCCTAGAAGTTCACGTCATGAAAACAGACCTAGGTCACCCTCGTCTAGGGTGCCTGTGACAAGTTGATTAACATGGCCTGATAGAAGGTCTAATACCAATGAGCATCACAAGCGAAGGCGAGAAGTGAACTCCAACAGTCAGTCAAGGAATCTTACTCATGCTGTCTGGAAGCCGAGAGAGCATGACTCAAATGTGGCTCGCCAGGCTGAGACATCAGTTAACCACCTAAACCATAGGCAAAGGATGGTCAAGCCACCAGTCATTGACGATGGTCGATGGTCAAGGGTGAGTCATCCAAAGTTCTCTAGGGTCAGGGATATCCCGCCAGCATTCATGACTCGCACTAAAGTAAGACGGTGGCAGCGGATGAAAACTGAGTTAAAGAGAATGGAAGAAAAATATTCAGCTCCACAGCCAGAGAAGGTGACTTTGCTTAGGAGAGAACCTATCAAGCAAGATTCAAAAAGTGATCCGAAAGGAAAATCCGAGGAAGATAGTGCAGACGGAAATGGATGCACTGAAGAGAAATGCGCGTCTTCCTCCATGAAAGAAGCTGAAGATGAAGCAGGATTTGGTGATGATGAACTCGACCTGGATGACGAGGATGATGGTTCAAAGGGTATCAAATTTGGTTCATTTGAAGGAGTTGTGAATTGCAATATGGTTCTTACCTTGCCTCATATTTTTGAGGCTAAACCTGATCAACCCTCCGTTATGGAAGGAGACGTCGAGGTGATCGATGATGAAGGTCAGGAAGTTCCAGAGATTATTGAAAACCCATCTGAGTTGGTCTCTGAAGATAAGAAATAGAAAGTCGCTGTGATAAGAGCTAAACCACGAGATGATGAGTCAGTGACTATTGGGAGAGATCAGGCGGCAAGGGTGATTTTTGAGAAGCCTTCTGCGGCAATGTCTCAACACTTGAAACCACTCTATATCAGAGTGTTCCTAGAAGGGATGCCAGTGTCTCGAACACTGATAGATAATGGATCTGCGGTTAATATCCTTTCGATGAATACCATGAGGTTGCTGCAAAAAACGAAAGATGACTTGATTCCCACTGACTTGACAGTCAGTAATTTCACGGGGGGCAGAGCCAAGACCAGAGTGATGGTCACCTTGGAAATGACAGTTGGAAAATGTAAGACCATGACTGCATTCTTCGTAGTCGACGCAGGGGCGGCTTACAACGCTTTGATTGGGCGTGATTGGTTACACCCACATTTCTGTATCCCTTCTACCCTCCACCAATTTATGATTTTCTGGGATGGGGATGAAATCCAAGTCATATGGGGAGACAATAAGCCTTTCGAAGCCCGGGTCCATGTGGCTGATGCAGTTTTGTATGAGGAGGAAATAGGTCCTGTGAGGCTCATTGGTTGTGACAAGTATGGCAAGCCTGAGAAGGCGACGATGAGGAAAATTTTGACAGACGGGGACTTATCCGATTTATTCAAGGAACTATCAAGGCCAAGTGTTATTTACGAGCCAAGGCCGATAGTTGAAGTTGATGAACAACAGGTTGTTAATGAACCAAGCCCAAAAGGAGAAGGAGAAAATGCTAGCATTTAAGGCTAGCATGGCACGGCTGAGAGCATATCTCGCCGAAAGACGGGCAATGTTGTGGAGTGATATGTCGGCCAATATGGCCGAAATCATAAAAGAAGGTGAGTCAGGGGATTGTCGAGATGTTATTCAGCTAGAAGAGCTAGATGCAGTCCCAGCTAAGCTAGAGGATTTGAAAGCCGATGTTCAGGATCCCTTGTTGGAGATAAATTTTGGAGCAGAAGAAGAGCCTCGGCCAACTTACATAAGTGATCTTCTAGAACTTGACTTTAAAGCTGAACTGATCTTGTTGCTTAGAGAATATAAGGATTGTTTTGCTTGGAATTACACTGAGATGCCGGGATTACCAAGGCAGCTAGTCGAGCATCGACTACCTATAAAAGAAGGTTTTAGACCATTCAAGCAAGCGCCTAGACGTATGTCAACAGAAGTGACTATGAAAGTGAAGGAGGAAATTGAGAGGTTGCTCAAAGCTGGATTCATCCGGACCACAAGGTATTGCGATTGGCTATCCAATATCGTTCCCGTGGTTAAGAAGAATGGAAAGATTAGGGTGTGCGTAGACTTCAGGAATTTAAATTCAGCTACTCCAAAAGATGAGTATCCAATGCCCATGGCCGATCAATTGATTGATGCGGCCGCCAAGAATGAGATTCTGTCATTCATGGACGGTCACTCAGGATACAACCAGATATTCATAGCAGAGGATGATGTTAACAAAACGACATTTAGATGTCCGGGAGCCATAAGCACTTTTGAATGGGTGGTGATGCCCTTTGGTTTAAAAAATGCCGGAGCCACTTATCAACGAGCTATGAATGCAATCTTCCATGACATGATTGGGAAATTTATGGAAGTATACATTGACGACGTGGTAGTGAAATCAGCGACAAAGGCGAAACATCTGGCCGACTTGAGGAGATCATTTGAGAGAATGCGAACCCATGTTTTGAAGATGAACCCACTTAAATGCGCCTTTGGATTGACAGCGGGGAACTTTCTAGGGTTCCTGGTGCATCGGAGGGGTATCGAGATCGACAAGAATAAAGCTAGGGCGATCATCGAAGCTCAACCACCTCGCAACAAGAAAGAGTTACAAAGACTAATTGGTCAAATCACATACTTGGGAAGGTTTATTTCAAACCGTGCTGGAAAGATCCATACCTTTTCTCCGCTCTTAAAGCTCAAATTAGAGGAGGACTTTTGATGGGAAAAGCATCACCAACATGTGTTTGAATCGATCAAGGAATATCTTGCTAACCCTCCTGTCCTTATGCCACCTAGGAAGAAACAGCCGCTGAAGTTATATATTTCAGCCGCGGATGAGTCAATCGGAAGTTTGTTAGCCCAAGATAATGAAGTAGGGAAAGAACAGGCAGTGTATTACCTTAGTCGTATTTTGACACCGGTTGAGCGTCGATATACGCCAATCGAAAAAATGTGTCTTGCTTTGTATTTTGCTGCTCACAAATTGAGAATATATATGCTACCTGTTTTAGTTTATGTGATTTGTGCCACTGACTTAATTAAGTATATGTTTTCTCGTCCTATAATTTCTGGACAAATAGGCAAGTGGTCCTTGGCCCTTATGGAATTCAGTTTGCAATATGTGCCTCAAAGGGCCGTAAAGGGCCAAGCACTTGCTGATTTCCTAGCTGACCATCCATGCTTGGATGTTGATCCGGGAATTTATGATGCAATGGAGTTATGTGCTATTCAACTAACTCCTTGGACTCTAATCTTTGATGGATCCAGCGCAAATGATGTCGGGGGAGTTGGAGTTATAATAATTGCACCAAATGGCAGGAAAACAACATATTCTTTCTTTCTAGATTTCAAATGTTCTAACAATCAAGCAGAATATAAAGCTCTAATTATTGGTCTTGAAATACTCTTAGAGATGAGGGCACAGACCGTTGAAATCATAGGCGATTCAAGTCTAGTGATCGGTCAGTTGTCTAACAATTTCAAGTGCCAAAGTTGGCACCACAAACCATTTCACTCTATAGCCATGCAATTACTACAAGAATTTGCAGAGGTAAAGGTCAAGCATGTTTATAGATTGCATAATAAAGAGGCCAATGATTTGGCTCAAATAGCATCTGGCGTTAGGGTGCCAGAAGGAATAATGGAGAATTTGATCAGAATAAAAAGAAAATCATTACCCTCAGTTAAGGTGAGGGAAGAATTGTTGGCAGAGGTTTTTGCAATCGAGGTGGAAGAGGAGATAGAAGATAATGATTGGAGAACACCAATCGTCGATTTTCTCAAAAATCCAGACCCTAAGGCTGACAAGAAGCTAAAGATCAAAGCTCTTAAGTTTGTGATGATTGATGGAGACCTATTCAGGAAGAGCATTAAAGATGACCTACTCTTAAGGTGTGTCAGTAAGAAAGAAGCCATGAAAGTAATGGGAGAGACCCATGAAGGGATATGTGGTGCTCACCAAGCTGGAATAAAAATGAAGTGGCTGATTAGAAGGTATGCTTATTACTAGCCCGGGATGCTTAAAGATTGTATCACATACGCCAAAGGATGTCAAGCATGTCAAAGGCATGGGCCAATCCATAGAGCCCCGGTGATTGAATTTCAACCAATCATAAAACCATGGCCTTTTAGAGGCTGGGCTATGGATTTGATAGGGAAAGTTTATCCACCTTCTTCTAAACAACATTGTTTTATCATTGTGGCAACTGACTACTTTACCAAGTGGGTCGAAGCGGTGCCCATGAAGTCAGTGCACCAAGAAGATGTGATTCGGTTTATCAAACATGTTATTCATAGATGTGGGATCCCAGAATCAATCACAACTGATCGAGGTTCAGCCCTTGTTGCCAAAGAAGTGCAGGCATTTGCAGCAGAGTACGGGATCAAGCTCCTAAACTCAACCCCTCACTTTGCACAAGGAAATGGTCAAGCCAAGTCATCTAATAAGACGCTAAAAGGCATCATTGAAAAAATGGTGGAAGATAACCCTAGGGTGTGGCATGAACTGTTATCAGAAGCACTTTGGGCATATAGGACTTCTCAACGGTTAAGCACAGGTGTGACTCCATTCATGCTCACCTATGGGCATGATGCAGTTTTGCCTATGGAAATGACTGTGCGGTCAATGAGATTCGCATTGCAAAATAATTTGACCCCTGCTGAATATAATGAGTCTATGTTGGTCGAATTGGAGGACCTAGACGAAGTAAGGTTAAGGGCTCTTGACCACATACAAGTTCAGAAGAGGCGAGTAGCGAGGGCATATAACAAGCGTGTTAAGGCCAAAATCTTCGGTGAAAGTGACTTGGTTTGGAAGACTGTCCTCCCAATGGGTGTGAATGATCGAAAATATGGAAAATGGTCACAAATTGGGAAGGTCCATTTATGGTTTACAAAGTCTTGAAGGGAGGCGCATATCATTTGCAAGATCTTGACGGGGAAATACACCCTCGACCGATTAATGGCCGATACTTAAAAACTTATTATCCTACAATGTGGGAGACAATGGAGAATAAAACCAAAGATGGTTAAATAACCAGAAGCCATAGAGACATGCATTTCATTCATTGTTTTCATTGAGTACAAAAGTTTATAAGAGTCAGTACCTATCATTTTCTTTGCAGATAAACAAAATGACTCCTGAGCTCATCCCACTCTTTCTTAGACATGGCCATTTTTTCATCCTCTTTGGCCTTCTCAGTCCTCAGTCGAGGAATTTCTTTTAAGACTGATTCTCTCTGCTGATCAATTTCCACATTCTTTTGATAAATCTCCTTCATCTGAATAGTAAGTCCTTCTCTTGACCGGGCAGTTCCAGTCAATTCCATCTTGAGACGTTCTTTCTCCCATTCGATCTCTGCTGCTCCCTGGTTTTCCTTAACATGAGTTAATTTTAAGGTCCGAAAATGGGAAACATTGTCTTTCTCTTGTTGAATCAAAGATTCTTGCTCCTGCAGCTTTTCATGGATCGTAGACGACAGATCACCAGCCTTCTGAGAGGAGAGCTGAAAATCAGAGACAAGAGTCGGGAATCGACTCTGGACAGATTGAAGATGGTTTATCTGTTCTTGACTTAAGTCATGATGATCTATCAAGACAGACATGGCATCAGTCACATCAGCAGCCAAACTTGGCATCTCAGAGAGGTCTCGGGACACGACGGTGACTAGTAATCTTTTTGCCCCCTCAATATCTGGCGAATGACTGGAAGACGTAGGCACAACAACTGGCTCACTCATCAAGGGATCTAGATCAAACCCAGCCGCTATCTCGAAAAAGTAGGCATCAAAGTCATCGATCGTGCTATAAGTTTGAAGGGGCGGTTGGGACTGAGAATTTGAGCCAGCCTATGAATGAAAGGAATTTAGTAAAACGAGTCAAGGCTTGAATGAGAGAATAAGTCATAAATACTCACACCAACTGGTGAAGGCCGAGTCACGTGGCCAAAGGTGCGTCTGGTAGCATACGCTGGTGCAGAGTAAGGGCTTGGAACTCTTAGTTGTGTGCCCGGGGCAACCTGTAAGAAAAGAATATTTCTGAATGCCTAACTTTGATAAAGATATACGGGAGATGTACTGAAAGATCATCTTGAAAATCACCTCAGCCCCATCAAACTGATGAAAGACAATGTTTGGTTGAGTAGTGGCTTGTTGACACTCGACTCCACTAGTGCGAGGGTGATTAGCATTCGCAATGCCATCACAAGTGTTGATCCTATCTCTTGACAACGACCTAGCCGAGTGTGAGGAAACCTGTCCATAAAGATGCCATTAGAATCAGCAAGGTACATTGATACTAGAAGTAAAAACAAAGCCTAGTTACCTCACGGCTGGTAGAGATATTTGTCTCAACTGAGAAAGTCGATGGCATCAAGGGGTCAGGATTTTCTTCCTCCTCTTCATCGATCAGAGGTAAAAGGTTGGTGGTCCTGACTGAGGTAACCTGTTTTTTTCCTTTCCCTACCCTGATCACCTGGAATACCATTGAGGTTAAAAAAGGGGTATATAGGTGGTACATATAAGTAAGCTAAAGTTCTAAGAGATTATGCTTTAAAGAATTCATAAGGAAAACCTTAGGCCTCTTGGGGGGCACCACGTTTTCCTCGTCAGCCTCAGGCATTTCTGCCTCATGATCAGAAACTCCCAATGGGTCATAGAAGTCAACAGCTGCATAAAGGAAAAGATATTCTTATGATTTAAGGCATAGAACTTGGTATTTATATATATGTAAGTATGAGTGTGTACCTTCTTTGGACGACTTTGATTTTTTCATCCTACTGGGAGAACCAGGATTAGCCACACTGATCCCTTTTGATGGCTTGGTCGAGGCTCCTTGGGGTTTAATAAAAATGGAGGCAATCCTATTTGTTATAGTGCGAGAATCCTCCACCATAACCTCCGCAATATGGTTTCCCCATCAGTAGTCAAAGGATGGAGAAGTATCAGGATTTTCCAGAAATGGCTGCAAAGAGAACTTGTTACAGAGAAGGTTAAACCGAGAGGATACTCTATCCACCATTTCTTTTGAGGTGAAGACTACTCATTCCAAGAAAGAAGTATTGACAGATCGAAAAGGCGGAAGTGGAACGAGTTGGGTGAGACCAAATTGTCTAGCAAATTGTGGGGGATTGTAATACTCCATCCCACACTTACTATTTGGAGAGCCCATTCTTGAACATCCATAAGAGACGTCCCTAGCAATCAAGAAACTGGCCCAGGTTTATGTATGTTCGTCTTGGCAACTCGGTGGAGCTTGGGCAGGGGGATAGGAAAGCCACAAAGGTCACCTCGGTCTAGGCGAGAATGGCAAGAAAAGATGACTGGCCCGGTATGCAGGGAGTTTGTAAAAGAAGGAGAACATGGTTTTGAACGACCTTTTTCCTGGTTGAATACATGCATAATGATAGCCGGGAATAGGAACAGCGGTCGACAAGTCGAGATCGGGGTAAAGTTCAGGGAAATATGCGTATTCCCAAAGTTGTAACAGCCAGAATGGCCCAAAACAGGTTTTGAAGTTGGAAGCAACATATTCCCCGATGCCACGGTAAAGATAAGAAAGCAAAAAAGGAGCGAGAGCAAGTTTCTCGCCCGAGTGAAGAGCAAGGGCCAATTGAGTAAATTCCTTAGTGACTATGAGCGAAGAAACGCAAAATAAGAACTTGTTCAGCCAGTACACCAAGAAAGAAATATGCTCGGCGATGGAAACCGAAGTTCCTTTACCTTTGCTGGCTTTAATAAAAGGGCCATGGGTAGTAATGCGTTCAGAAGCGTCAGGTTTCTTTGGATATTCATAAGCTACTTCAGGAACGGTGAGAAGTGAATTTATTTCTGTACCGTGGGGCCTAAGCCCTGTAAGAAAACAGATATCTTGCACCGTCGGACCAATCATACCACACCGAAGATGGAAGGCATTGGTGGAACTCGACCAGAAAAAGAGTAATGAGACGAGAGCCTCCTTATCGATAGAGATTCGATTTTTTGAAAGAATGATGGCATCATAAATGCCGACCTCCTTCCATAATGATCCGTAGTGAGGTTCAACCCGATCGACCCAATCAATCCAGTCACTTTGAGGGATCGGGCAATTTTTGAAAAGGTAGGAAGAATCCACAAGATTAGAGAACTCACGCTGAAATGGGAGTTGCTCCTCAGCTAAGGGACAGTAGGGAAGAAGTGAGGTTGGTGGACTATCTTTGAAGGCTGGAGCAAGGCCGATTCTAGGTAAGGAGTCAGCACCTAAGACACTGGCTAACACTTCACTAGTGCTGAAAATATCTGTAGCGATGATCTCGTTGACGAGTTTTTGAACAATCCTGGCTTGACTGGAAGATTTGTTACTAGCCGGAATTGACGTGTTCTCAGCAACGATCGTTACGTTTTTATTACCACCCATTGGCTGAGATCCTGAGGAAAAGAAAATAAAGTTAAATTAGAGAAGGACCAACGAGAAGAATAATGGAAGCCAAAATTTTATTTTTTACTAACAAAGAGAAAAATTCACTTCAAGATACTCACTAGTCGACTGGCTGGAGCTGGTGTTTTTTACGGTGGCAAATGTTGAATATTTTGTGCCACCCTTTATCTAAAAAATTGAAGAAGGGATAATGCACAATGTGAGAAGAGCTGATAAGAGGAAACAGTCACTTGGCTTTATTTACAATCATGTTTAATACAAGTTAAGGCCACTCAATTTAGCCATTCGATATGAAATACCAAGGCTGGTTTTTTATGTTAGTGTGCATATATATGTGTGTGTATAAACATGTATCTGAAAATATGCATATACCAGTAGACGCCGTTTTCGGCGTTTCTTATTCTCATAGTGGTGGCAATCTTTGATTTGTTCTTTAACTTTTCAGATCTCTCAGGTGGCGGAAAAACAAGGATTGTCGAGCTATCAGTGTTTCACGAACAAATATGCTAACTAAGAATTTAAGAAGAATGAGTTTGTATAGCTCGGCAACGTAAGTCCATAATAGAAGCAGTTGGCCGGTAATAAATGGGGATATTTAAAGTGGTGATTGACAGCCAACGTGGGAGATCCAACTTAAGCATCAGGGTTTGGTGTTGTCTATAGAGAGTGGGGCGTCAAAAAAGTTACAACGGTTGACTTTTAAAATAGCTGAAGCTTCAATTGTTTTAATTAGCTTGTGGCATGTACAACAGTGCAGCAGTTAGTAAAGGTACCTTGAGCTCCCAACCCAGCCGCCAGAGACAACACATCAGGGTCCATTCACATGCTCGGTATACTCTGATTTGCAACTTAATTTAAGTTATGGTCAGCATTCATTAAAGTGGACTTGCACGACAATTGTGGATAGAGTGATTGCAATTTAGATATTCCTTGTACCCAGTGGTCTATACTTATTTGAGCACACGAATCTGCTATAAAACCAACTATATCTACTTTAGTTGTTTGCTGTCACAATGGTGTCTAAAAAGATATGCATTGAGCTCCCAAACAGTCAGCCTATTGAGATGAGGCATCAAGTCTATCCACGTGTTTAAATATATGCCTTTGACTTGAAACCTATTTTAAGTTATTGGTCAGTACCCAGTAAGAAATGGGTTTGCATGGTAATGGTTGGATGGGTGATATTGCATCAGGCATGCTATACATATATACATATATATATATGTGTGTGTGTGTGTGTGTGTGTGTGTGTGTGTGTATCTTTATTTTAATGTTGCGTGTGTGTATATCTATAAGATAGCACAGATTGTTGAGCAGAAAGACACAACAACTTCAAAACCCATTAAAACAAACAAACCAACCTCTCAAACCCTTAAACTCTCCTACTTCTCTCTCTAAAAAGAACACAGAAGAATTCACTTACTTTATTAGCAATTTGTATTTTGGCTCAACTATGGAAGCTTTTAGCTTGCTCATATACTGGAGAAGCGATGACAGTGGAGTTTCTGCCACATTAAGCGCCGATCCAAGGTTGAACAAATCATGGTCCTTTGAAGCATGAAGGGTCATAGTACTTGAGTTTTGTTACCTCGTCTCGTCCACCTGAACCGTGAGTTTCGCCGGCAAAAATCCATCAAGCAAGCCCATACCAATGCTCTCTTCATGACCAACTCCGTGATGGAGATGAACGGGTGATGGTCCTTTGGTGTTGATAACTTCGGTAATTTGTGGTACCAAACCCATTGCCGGAAGAGTTGTTGATGCAGTTAACAGAGCCCGCGGATGACCGTTGCTAACCAGGTGCTCGCTGATTTATTGGTCAAGCAAAGAATTGCTTCGCACCGGAGTAAATGGTTGGACCCGTTTTGATTTTCTTTGACATTCACAGGTGTACAGTGCGAAATATCACTGAAAATCCAAACTGGGTATGGATGATGGCTGTCGGTGATATACTTGCCTTGGAACCTTGAGTGTTTTTCCGGCGGTAAAATTTGCTTTCTTCCTGCCGTCGCCACTGACATTCAAGGCGAAGAAGGAAGGTGACGGCAAGCTCATGGCGATTTCGACGGCGCTGTCAGTGCCGTTGTTGAGCATCGACGACAATTCCCTTGATGTCCTGTTGCTCGACACTGAGAACCGCAACAAGATCGATGCGTTTCATTTGAGAAACCCACTGGTGCAACCTTACCACCTTCAGAAAGCGTTCCAGTCCAAAGGGTCATGTGAGCTCCTTCACCTCACTGGGTGTTTGCAGATGAAGACCATGTTATAATAATTAATTACTGTGTCCACATCATAGTGTTGTAAACTCCAAAACTTTAAATTGATATACCAGCGAAGGGCGACCTCATCATGTTTGGCAACGGAAGGAATTAGATGAGATTAAGGCGGCGCCGGGAAGGTTGCCGAGGTGCATGCATCCAGCCGAAAAGGCTGGGTTGAATTATGGTGGACACTTGATCGTTGCAGTTGGTGAGATTTAACGATGGAAGCAACAATGAGAGTGGTATATCCGGAGAGCCGTGACCATGAATAAAGCCATGACAGTGGCGAGAAAATTTACGTTTCACCAAAACGATTTCTTTCTCTCCGGCCGAATGCTCATGCTCTGAAGTATACCAGTGCCCACACTTTCTCTGCCGGTATCGTTAATTGTTCTAGTCTCGGTGTTAGTTTCCGGCTGCCAAAACCTCAAACTGTCCGCTGCAACCTAACGGCGACATCCATGTTCGCGGGTAACATGGCCGCCGGTGTTATTTATGCCACCGTGTTATCCAGCGGCGACTTCAAAAACGATGCAACACTTTCCCTACGGCCGGCACCGGTCCAGGGATGAATGACCATAATCCGTTGGAGCATGAAGGTGACGGTAGGCGTTGTTGCAATCAATCCCATCGCGGAAGAGTCATGCATATAATTCCAGTAGGTTCGCCCACTGTTGGCTGGAATAAATTGGGTCTCTCATTAGATTGAATGGCATCAAACTCCTCTTGGTGCGGGTTGATTTTCCCTATCAATGCAACATTCACCTAAAATTGCAGACCAACCCGAAAGCTGCAATAGCTCTATCCACAAACTTACATCATCCATAGCCTCCGGCAAGTTTCCTTCTATTTAAGAGCTAAGTATTTCAGTCTGGCGAAGATACTACAACGATCAAATTTTCCCACGATAGTTCAACTCAACGAGACCCAAAACCGTTGGGTATGACAATGGTTTTTTCCAACTTCTCTCTCTGGAAGTGTTCTATAACTGCTATTATGTTTCTGTTTTGGTGTGTAAATGAAACATTAATTGGTTAGAAGCTTCAATATGGCCCAGGTGTAAATGGCCATTACAAAGAAATGATACTCATTTCTTTTTCCGATTAATAAATGGTTTTAGTTATCCATACTTTAAAGGCAAAATTAGCCTTGGCTGGTCCCAGGCCGAACACAAAAATTGGCCTAAACAAATACAACTCTACAAAAATTCGGTATGAACCCATTTTCATATAGTTGGGGGCTGTTGTTAATACCTAAAATATAGTTCGAGGCAATCATGCCACGTGGTCAAAGAATATGAGGTCCGAACCTTGGGTCAACCTATGATCATTAGGGTGAAAGATTAATTTCTAATCAGGGTGATCAAGTTTAAGGTTGGGAATTAAGAAGAGTGGATTTTTTAGGCCATTAAAGCTGAGATGAGGTTTTGAGCTTATAACCAGTCACAATTGGGACTCTCAGTCTTAACGATCATGATCATGAGTTTAGGCCAAAACTTTCTCAGTCAGTATGGTTATGACTTTCAGTCTCAATGGTCATGATCATGAGTTTAGGCCAAAATCTTCTCAGTCACTGTGGTCATAAGAGTCTCAGTCCCATGGTCATGAGTTTAGGCCAAAACCTTCTCAGTCAGTATGGTTATGACTTTCAGTCTCAATGGTCATGATCATGAGTTTAGGCCAAAACCTTATGACTTTCAGTCTCAATGGTCATGATCATGAGTTTAGGCCAAAATCTTCTCAGTCACTATGGTCATAAGAGTCTCAGTCCCATGATCATGAGTTTAGGCCAAAACCTTCTCAGTCAATATGGTTATGACTTTCAGTCTTAATGGTCATGATCATGAGTCTCTCCAAAGACTCATAACCAGCCATGATCAAGACTCATGACCAAATATGGTTATGATTAGGGGTCTCGGGTCATAATCACTTGAAGAATCTTTGGGGTACTTCAAATGAAGATCAGCTGGAATCCCAATGATTTAAGAATCCAACAAGTCAGGTCTGGAAACGTGAAAAGAGCTTGAAATAGAAAAGGACAACTTGACAATATCAGAAGTTCAGAACTACAATTGGAAGGTTCTCACCTACATCTGATGAGGAGAGTCAGAATCGTCAGTAATCAGATGTCTTCAGGCTAATGTACAAATCAAGCCAGACATGACAGGTGCAGGGAGCTGAAAATAGCTTGAAGACCAAAATCATCAAGCATGAAAGACAAGGCACCACTTAGTTAAAAATACTATGTCAGACATACTTTAATTTGCTTATAGAAGGATATGAAAGTCAGTCAACCTGACCAGCTCAACAAGGGGGTTAGGAAGGGTCACTTTCAGTTTACAACCAATCAATTTCTAGAGAAACGGTTGAAAGGGACAATACCAGGTGGAAACCTCTATAAATACCCACTCAAGCTTCACAAAGAAGAGGTCCAAGACCATTTCTGAAGTTCAACCTTTAGCATTCATATCACTTAGCACTTAGCTTTTATTTCATCAAGTTCAGTTTATTACTTAGCTTTTATTTCAGCAAGTTCAGCTTAGCACTATCAGTTTAGTACTTAGTTATCTTTCAGCATTCAGTACTTTAGTTTCCATTTCAATCAAGAGTTTGTAATTCATTCATCATTGTAATCAGTCAAGTTCAATGAAGAAAGGTTTGCAGATTCAGGTATATTTATTGTTCAGTTTAAGTTGTTTCTAATTGATACTCATTTTAAATGTTTAAAGTCCTTTCTTAAAGGCAATAGCAACCTTAAGGAGAAGGTCATTCCTACTCTCCAACTCTCGCCTGAATCACCTTAGGTCGGTGACTCGACCCAATAGGAATAGTTTGGCAAGAAATATTCGAGTCCATCAGGACTCTGGCACGCCCGCGTTCTAGGTCAGCCATTCATTGGCTAGCGACCTCAGACCACTTTGTGAGCCAAACACAAAGATAAAGATGTTTTGAACAATCTTATCCAACTTATTCAATGGTAGAAATCATGTGGGACTCCTTCTAAATTAATGATTATACTAATTATTATTTTGTTTTCCTTTTCGGGTTAAGTAACTAGGCTGATCTTCTTTAAAGAAATAAACATATTTTATTAAATTATTTTAAAAAATAAAATAAAATAAATGCACACATTTAACTTTTATAAAATAAAAATTAGATTTGAACAATCTAAATTAGTGTACTTGATAAGGTCCAAAATAGTCTAACTTTTTCGAATTGTATAAATTGTGGACCACGCAGACCCGTCTTTTTTTAATGAATAAAGTTAAAAAAAGGGCAACCCTTGCATATTTTATTAACTCTTCTCAAACACATAAAGAATTAAATAGATCAAACTTTTGAGAAAATAAATCACTATACTCAGATTTAAATTTTCAATTTTAAGAATGACAATGAGATTTCTTCGATTTATATTTTTCACCATCATTAACATTTGTGGATAATTGGAGAAACCAATTATCAGCCTTCTCCGATCTTCTAGACAGCTTCTCAGCCTTCTCCGATCGGTAAAGGAACAAGGGAAAAAGTAACCAAGTGAGGAATCGTTAACAGAACCGGAACCGAACCCGGTTCGGTTCCATACATGGCGGTTCCGGTTCCGGCAGGAACCGTACAGAACCGAACCGTGTGCATGATCCTACTTTAAAATACCCACCATTTCCCCACTTTCAGACCCTCTTTCTCTCTCTAAAACTTGGTGGGAAAACCATCAACGAAAGCATTCTTCCGTGGCTACCGCCCTTTCTCTCTCTAAAACTTTCGCTCTCCAAGCCCCCTTGTGTTTTTCACCTTCTGATCAAATGAGTGTGGTTCACTTGTTCAATCATTCATTTGCTTTCTCTCTCCATCATCATGTCCATCATCATGTTCAACCGGTAAGTATATCTTCTTCCATGCCTTCTAGTTCTTTTTTTCTTTTTCTTTTTCTTTTTTAATATGATTTTATTGCATAATCATATCTCCATTTTATAAGCATTTTCTCTCTTCTGTTTGTTACATGCGATATGGTATGTATTACACAAAATTAATTAATCTCTCTTTTTCTTAATTTGTTGGCATATACATTTTTATTAGTAACCTTCTTCAATTCCACATGATTTCATATTTGCCTTTGTAACCTTTATTTTGTGATTCTAACATTTCTCAACTCCAAACCTTAACTGACTGATTATTTATTTATTTATAAGTTCATTTAGTCCATCTATCTCAGTTAGCTTGAAATGTTTTTGTTATTAATTTGCAAAGTCTATGTTATTTATGATTATTGCTTGTTAACTCTGAATAAATTTTTGATGTGACAGGGTTTATTTCTTATACGAGGTCAATTAATGGCATGAGTAGTTTCGGAAAAGGTATATATATGATTTATTTGTTTAACTTAATTTTAAATTTTTGCTCATATAAAATGTCTTATAATAAAAAAATTAATGACTAGTGTGTTGCCCACTGAAGATGAGGCTGCATCTGCCTTGCACCGGAGGAGTACCAATATATTTTAGTTATCATTACAGATCCTCAACACAAATTAACGCAAGTTAAACTGTTATCCCTAACCAATTAAACTGTATGCAAGTTAAAAATTTGGAATAACTTGTGAAATATTATGAAATACCTTAACTCTTTGGCTCTTTGGTGGACTTTTCTCAACAACTACTCGCTCTGCAGCTTTGCAAGTTCTTGTATTATGTCCATAATCCAAGCATTTTGAACACTTTCACTTTTTCTTTTGACCTGCTCAGATGGGTTGAACATCACTTTTTTTATTTTTTTGTTTCTCTTCTTTGGTCCTATTGGTTGGAGGATGGATAGGGGTTGTGGGCTCTGTTTATAGCTGCCTTCTCATAGACATGAGGTTGATTATTAAGGTGTATTTCGCTACATGAATTAAAGTTGGTGTAATTGAAAAAAAAAAAATAGTTCAATTTTCTAAATTTTTTTTCTTCAATTTCACTAATTTTAATTTCAATATTTCCATTCTTTGCAACCGTGTATATCTTTATTTTGAATTGACTTTTGTAATTTCCACCATTAAAAAGACTTGAAAAAGCGACCAAAATTTAGCCCTATCTGAGCAGGGATGCACATATATAGCACATATATAGGGAGTTTCCTTCATGTCTACAAGGCATACTTGTAGCATCTCATTTCAAACTTAACGCACTTATATACCAAAAAAAAAACTTTAGGGGAGATATTTCTCCAAATTTTAAATATTAGGAATGTTATTCTCACTTTGCCCATATAAATATATATATTCTTTCGGCAAGAAACTCACATTTTGCCTGAGATTTATCTACTTTGCTTTACATTAGCCACTTTATAACCATCATGTAATAAATTGATCTGTAATCCATAATTACACAATCAAGCGGTTGAAGACCTTTGGGTGACGGATGCTAGACCTGGCAAATGGCAAGTTGTAGCTCCCTCAGAAAATCTTCTGCGTGCATTCCAGTAAGTGACTCTAACCCTTTTTAGGTTTCACAATCATTACAATACATCAGCTAATGTTGGTTATATTCATTGGTTTGAATTTACAGGGGAATAATTGAAGGTTTAGAACAATTTATTGAGAAAGAGGATACTCATACTACGGAGGCACTCTAGAAGAGCATATCAATTTCAGAAGAAGGGGAAGCTAAGCTGACCACACCTTTGACTTTTCCAGAAGAGGGTAATTTAAATTCTCCCCAAAGTTATTATATATATGTGTGTGTGCTTTCTAGTGTCACTATTCTATTCAAGTCATTTGTAGAGTCAATTATGTGAGACATAAAGCTGCCGTATGAACTACATTTGGTAATTTATGTCCTCCTTCCTTTGGGAGATTTCACTTGTTTAGTTTTGGTCTGAAGTGAAATCATAGTAGGTTTTTTTAGTAGAACCATAACAGATTACCATAAATAAAAATAAAAAATAAAAAATAAATTCTGTGCACCCCATTTTGTGTATGCTTTCACTTACTCTATAGTTACCAATACTTGACACATGATTGTCGAATAATGTCTGAATAGAGTCCCCAAATCAACAAAGACAAATCCCTTAAATATTTCAGATCTTAACTGTTTATATCTTTGAGTCAATCCCCCATCCAGCATAACATCCCTCTTTCAATTCTACCCCCTCATGATATTACATTGAGTTTGCTTATTCTGAATTTTTTTGAATTGGAATTTGGATTGCTTGATGAGGAAGATATATAAGACAATTATCCTAGCATGAGAGGATTTCTCGTTAGCCATTTTCTAATTCATCATGTAAAAAATTGATCTGTAATATTAATCTGTAATATTAATGTATTTTTTTAATATTACAGATCAGTTTCTTGCATTAAGGAATGATTTAATCCAATTTAGAGATTTGGTTGAGTTGGCTGCAAGCAGATTCCCTGGTATGGGATATCCTCGGCCTGGTGTCATGTTTTTATTCGATGAATTGGTATCTCGTTACATCAGCCGATGCCAGACAGTGGAGGAGTTGAAGTAAGATTATTCATTCATTTCTTGTTTGGTTCATTTTTTTCAATAATATTTATAATAACATTTTATTTATGTGGCTCTTTAAGAGGACAAATCCATTGTTTTATAATAGCGAGAAGAGATGCTATGTTGTGTGAAAAACATTCACGATGCTAAAGGTGCAGTATGGTATCATTAGGAGAATTTCCTTGATCGGGAGGTGGACATATATGATCGACTCGCACATTGCAGTGCAAGGAGAACAACAGCTATATAAAATCCTAGTACATGGTACCGAAGATGGCAGTACAGATCCCATGTATTTGGGACCTTGGGCCGCTCTCATATTCCAAAGGAATGTGTATGAACATTTGGTAAATACCCAATTTCTGTTTATGACTACTATGATGCCATATTCTTAGTTTTTGTTTATTTATTTATTTTTTTTTTTTTTTGGGCGGCTTGGGATTGGTTGGAATTTTCTCCAAATTGAAGAATTGCTTTTTCGGAATATGCCAGAGTTTGTTCTGAAATATTTCTTTGAAATGGTGGCGAATTTTTATGATGTAAATCTTAATTATGTCAGGTAATGTTCACTTTTCTTTCTTTCGTTTTTTTGTTTTTTGTTTTTTAGTTTTTGTTATTTTTGTTTTCTTTTGGTTTATAGTGTGTCTTAATCTTATTGTAGGGTTAGCTGCCTACGAACCTTGAAATATCCTCCATACCCCCTCGGTCACTAGTATATTGGAAGCCTTTTTGCAGTTTTTCAGCATTTTGGAAAAGAGGTATGTCTTTTATGCATGTAGTAGAGTCATTTCCTCTTCAGTCGTTTCTTCTTTGTTTGTCTTTCCTTCTGAATTTGATTGGTTGACTTGAATGTCTCGATATGCTGGTGAATTGCTCATTGATGAATACTCAATCACATATGGTGGTGTCTATTGGAACCCTTGATTTAGTAATTGGAAATTTCTCACACAAGGATTTTCTCTTTATATGATTAGAGTCTTAAAATCATACCTTAGATCGACTAAAACGCCCTATTTATAGCCAATATAGGTAGCCCATACTTTTTGGTAGGTTGAATCGTTTTAGAAATCTGTTTTGAGAGCTCGATTGATCGAGGCAGTGTTAGATACCTACTGCGAAGTTGCTCCATCAGTCGACCAGTTAATTGAAGCACATTGGGAAATCATTTTACAAAAAATCCCAGTTTTTGATAAACATGATTAAAATAGTATTTTGAGCCTTTTATAGATCATACATAGTTGGTCTTTGTGGTCTCAACTTACCTCAACCTAGATATGTGACCGAGTCTTGAGATATTTGCGGCATGTTCTTCATTGAGCTGTATTTTCATCATCTTTTGTGGTTGTAAACACGTGACTCGCGACTTTGACCTCCTTCTCTCCTCCGTTTGTTGTGGTCATTGTATGGTGAGAAATCTCACCCCTGCCTTTAGACGAGAAAGCTTCTTGCACCTCCCCTAGACAAATCAATAGGAAATGCTACAACCCATTGTTGTTCTTTTTACGATGAACCACTCCGGTACAGTCTGTACTGTACTTCAAAGTCCTAATTGTGGCATGTGAAAACATCCCTTCCCTTGGTTTGAAGCCTTTTTTTTTTTTTTTTTTCTTAAGGTCTGTACAGCAAATAGGAAATTGCCAGCATATGACTCTTATTCCTAACAGAAACATATTAACATACTTAAGTCATTGATATCAACTTCTTTTGTAGGAATGCATATGGCTTCTGAAGTTTTTTAGGGGCTGTATGTTGTCTCGACCATTTATGCTTAGACATTAGTTTGCTGCCTTCATGGCTCTTTCACTTCACAAGCAGGGTGCTGATCTCTAACCCACCTTCTTAAATAGAAAGCCCTTTTTATTCTGATGCTTTGTTTCTGTGGTACACTGTTTGTAGAGATCGTAGATGTTTTTAGTACTTCATGAATGTGTCCGTGATAAAAATAAATAAATAAATTTCATAATTTAGGATTTCCCATACAATGTTTCCAAACACAAGATATATGTAACAAACACGTCTTAAAAAGGCTTCTGTCCGACAGTCATCAAAACAAGATGAACACACTCCAAAAGGTGTTCAAGCTTTGTTTTCTTCAAGAAAAATTTAAATCATACACATGGTCATCGTATGAAAAATATAACACGGAAGCTTTTGTAGATATAAATTGAAATCTTTAATACTTTGAATAGTTTTATCCTCCATATTTGCAATCTTAGTACAAAAATTAGAAAATTATTGAAAGTTTATATTTTCATATATATATATATATATTTCCATGTCTGTATCCTGCCCCTTTTTGGGTTTGATGTATGCAAGCATATGGAATATGACAGACTTGGCACGTAAAACTCCATCAAAATGCTTATGGAACGCTGTTGGAATTTGCTATAAGAATACAAAAATAGAAACATTGAATAGAATTGGTCACGGTAGAAGATTGATAGACATATATTGATATAACGTAGCAGTGTACTTGTCAGAGCAAAATATGACTAGATCAATATCTACTACATAGGCTAAATAAATTAAAAAAACAAATACTACATTTTTGCACCCAAAGATTGTTGAATACAAGAAGGAACAAAAAATTTCTCCATGGATAATTCTAATTTTCTACCTCTTTAGGGCATGTTTTGCTAAAAAATTATGAAGATGAAGACTGAATTAATAAAAAATAAAAAATAAAAATGAAACCAAAAAGAGACAAGAATAGTACTGACTCGTGACTTCCCATCACTTGTCGCAAATTGTCATTATTTTGACCGTCTATGTCGAAATAACTTTATTCTCAACTCAACAGAGCTATTTTCCAACTATTTTGGACTGTTTATATGAATTTATTTTTTGTCAGTTTGCTTACAATTAAAAAGTTTAAAGAGATACAGGATTACTTGGTTAAGGGCCTAAGGGGTAATTTAAATTCTATTAATCAGTTCACTGTATTCCTTGATGTATTTCCATCTTAGACTTCTGGGTGCAATTCAAGTGTCACACCCCGCCTCATTGTAGGGAGGTTATGCCTTGTAGGCACATGTGTACGCTGAGGAGGCCTCTCCATGACAATAGAAGAGTAGAATATAATAGAAGTTCTAGAATCTTCCCGAATCGTGCAGTTGTGGAATACTCCAGAGAGTGAGAAGGTTCTAGAATATTGGATAAAATTACATTGTCCTAATTAGGTAAAAATACACAAATCTCCTCAATAGTTTACTCGAGGAAAAAGGTTTGGTCATTGATGTGAAATTTAAAATAAATAAATAAATAAATAAATAAATAAATTACTTAAAAAATTCAAAAGGGTAATGTGCATAAAAAGGGAAGCCGAACAAAAGAAAACCTGTGTTCTGACTTTGAAATTTTATACCAATGGTAAATTGGACTCACCACAAATTTGGGTCACGGATTTAACTTTGATTGTCTAACAGGCTCAAGACCATTTTCGTGGGTCCCAAACTATTTAGCTAGCCCAAGCCACAAAGAGAGTTGAATAAAAGGGTTAATTTAACTTTAAAATAACTTTTCAAAATTACTATCACTCATGTTATAAATATATGTTCCGTTTTTCACTCATACCCCAACTATCATCTTTAAACATCTGACATTATATAAAATGACTTAAAAACCTTCGACTTTGTCAAAAAAAAAAATTAACCTAAAGAAATATACTAAAAGACTAAACTATCCCTAAATGTTTTGCAAATTTACAATTATATATATATGTGTGCGCGCGCGCCTATATATATAATGTTTTCAACAGATTATATCGCGGTTTTTCCTCGTTTTCTCTTCAAATCACACCTCCGATTTGGTTTTTCCGTTCGCATCCAACTTCGGTTTCTTTGTTTGATTCTATCAGTTTGTTGTAGCAGGAATGCCGGATCCGGTGGAACCATGGCGTCGTTTGAGAGCGAGGACTCCACTCACAACCACCAGGATTTCGACTTGAACTTGCCGGAATAGTCCTCTGCCAAAGAAACTCCATTTATCAATGATAGCAAATTAAAGTTCCTCTTAAATTGATTAGATTACAGTAGTTTTTTAAAGAACTTTTTCACTTCTTTATCTATACGTTACATCTTTTTATTGTGATCATTGAGCAGATTCCCTTGGCATTCCATCCCAGCAAAGCTCTTTCACCAACTTTTGTTGAAAGATACCAATGAAATTTTGTACTAATCACTTTCTCAATGTAATTGTAGTGTACATGCTAAAATGGGTTTTTTTAGTAAAGTCGAGTCATGTTTTATTGCCCACTCTCGTTGCTGTGAACCAACCTTGGAGCTCTGCAATTTTGCAAATATAATGACGCTAACAGCTTGAATCGGTGAGAGAGTTTAATCCGATCGTGTAATTAAGCGGTTCCTTTATTTGCTATAATCTCTTTCCTTCTATAGCACAAAAGAATACAACTGTAGAAATCACACATCACATGAGTTGGTTTAAAAGTAATTTTTTTATTTGTAAGAAAATTAGCCTGACCTGTTGGTGTTGATGGTGGTCGTGCTGATGAGTGTGTGTATATGTGTGACAGGTGGCAATAGATGTTTTGGTCACTTAACATCAGTTCAATATTGGTTTTAAAATAAAAGTCATTAAAAAATGAGAATAAAAATATTATTTCACACTCATTTTAATGGCGTTAGTAACGGATAATAAGGATATCAGGTTTGCCTAAATACTATATTAAATCATTTTTCAAAAATTACTATAGTCAAGATACAATCGTTTGTGCCATCTTTCACCCGCATCCCAAGTCCCCAACAGTTATATAAGAAATAAATTTTAATGTATTTAATATTTGAAGATATTATAAATACGATTTCATTCCATTTAATAAAATTAACATTGTACAATATATAATTAGGTCATTACTTGTGTTTGATAGTCTTAGAAAATTCATTAAAAATCTATATTTATCAGATTATATTGTGAAAAGATTCATCGATACTTTTTGGATCTAACGTGCAAGATCAAAAAGATGCATCCACGACTGCAAACCTTGGTATGGATAGCAAGAAAAGAAAATTTTTGCGGAAAAATAACAACCCATAACTATCTAATTTTTCCTACAAAATACATGAATTTTTTATTTCCAGAAAGTTACATGAACTTACAGTTATACCCCCTTTTTTTTCTCTCTCTAAAATATAACTTGCTTATGCATAAATTTTGTATAATGAACGTATAATAATCTATATCTCTCTAAATGTCCTTCAAACTTATTTATTTAGATTTTTATAATGTTTTTATTTATTTTTATTTTTTTATTTTATTTAAAAAAAAGATAATATTTATGTAGATTCTTATATTATTTTTATTTTATAAAAAAGACAATATTTATTCAATACACGATTATTTATTTATTTATAATCTTATTTAATGAAAGTAAGGACAATTTAGGTAAATCATTACATGTTTTTATTTTTATTTTTATTTTATTATTATTATTATTTTTTATTTTCATGTTTTCCAAACTAGCAAAATAATTTTTTCTAACAAATTTCTTGAAATTTTTTGTTGAATGCATACTAAAAACTTGATTTTATTTTATTTCGCTTGACTTTCAATTTCACTTCCCATCTAACCGAACAAAGGTGAGAAAGTACTACTTTACCAAAACTACCCTTGTGTCTATTGAGAGGTAAAAAATTAATATTGTCCAACAGATGATGACACCTCACTTGTAATCCAAAAAGGGGGGAGGGGAAAAAAAAGAAAGACAAGCAATTTTATTTGTCTTAATTTAAGTGAAGCATTGAATTTTGACAGTAAAGGATGTTGCCTTTGATATTATGTCAACTTAGGTTAAGAGGTTGACCTTGATATAACTTGAGAGAGAGACTCAACTAGATATAGTAATGTTTCTAGTTTTAGCCTCCCGACTAGATACTATTATTATTATTATAGTTATTAATTACTTTTGACAATTCAGAAAGTAGAAGAAAATTACCCCAAAACATATATTCCTTCCGTCCCAATTTAGTTGTCCTTCTTTTCTTTTTGGGTTGTCCCAAAATATTTGTCCATTTACCAAGTTTAAACAACATATTTCACATCTTTTCATAAGATACCCTTAAAATTTTTAAAAAAATTCAAACTTCATTATATATATATATATATATATATATATATATATTTAATATTGAAAGGGTAACTTTGTAATTTTTAAAGGGGATAATGCAATAATTACATGTCCCCCTAAACAGTTTTACTCCCCAAAAGAAACATCTAATATGGGACAAAGGGAGGGAGTACTAACAATTAATTTGTTGGTAAAATAGAAATTTGGAATTAAAAGACATTCATTTTATGCAACTACTTTATTGAAATAAATAAGATTGTTTCATAAAAACACTGCTTAACAACTCACAAAGAATAAGAAAATCATCTCAAAACATATACAAACAATTAAATTGTTCGATAAAATAAAAAAGTCAAATAAAAAGGTACTATTTTTTTTGTTTGAAAAAATAGGGGGAAACCAAAATTTTAAAATTTAATCTGAACTCTCCAAACCCTACTCTCCTCCGCCGTCTCCTTCACAACCAGCTATTTCTCTCAAAAACCCCCCATTCACCATTTTTGTTCTATCTGGCTCAAAGAAATGGTGAATCATGTTCATCTCTGGTACAAGAGGCAAAGGCCACACAGACTAAACGGGTATGCTATTGTAATATGTCCCATGGGGGATATAAATAGGAATAGAGTCGGGAGAGGAGTGGGTAAAGGGTTATCCATTAAAAACTTTGAGGAGAATGCTGCTGCCATGAGGTTGAAAAATAGACTTGACCGTTATGACCACCCCAATATTCTGAAATGTGTCATGTTCCGGCGGGAGGACAATGGGAGTATTAATCTTTTCTTTGAGAGTGTTTCTGGCATGAGAATAGTTGACTGGATCAATACATGTAATGCAGGTGGCCTTTGGAGAAGAGATGATGGAAAAGTGGTTTTTGTGACTCCATCAGACAACTTCATCAAAGTGATTGGGTATATGTTTATTTCTCATATATTGTGGTTTGAATTTATATATACATACATATATATATATGTTTGTTATTCTTCAATGTTTGGGATTTACTCAAGTTGTTTATGCTTGTTTCTCTTCAATTTTTGGATTTACTGAAGTTGGTTAGAGATTTGGGTATGTGTTTGTTTCTCTTCAAAGTTTGGATTTACTGGACTTGGTCAGTGATATGATCATATGGCATATGTTTGTTTGTGGGTTTGGATGTTTTATGTGTTTGATTCTCTTTAATGTTTGGATTTACTCAAGTTGGACAGTGATTGTGTATATGTTTGTTTGTTGTTTGGATGTTTTATATGTTTGTTTCTCTTCAATGTTTGGTTTTACTCGAGTTGGTTAGTCAATGTGCGTGTTTTTCTGTGATAGAGGAATAGTAGCAGGTCTGGATAAGTTTTTCATCAGAGACGGATATTATAGGGTAGTCTGTCAACTATATTTGTAGATGAAGACTTTCATGTCAAATTGACAAAGCCTAAGCACCGTAATGGTAAACCCTTATCTTAGTTTGTTTTGTTTTTGTTTTTTTGTGTTTTTTTTAATGCTCCTTAACAAAGTTAAATCACAGACACTTTAAACCGGATGAGAATGGAGATTATTGAATTTCAAGAGATTGTTCAGTTGGCTGGACAGAAAATCTCAAATCCACCTCCTGCCTTTGTTGAATTGTATAGTGTGTTTATCAACATCTGTCTGCCTCTGTGCAATACCAGAGAAATAATGAGGTGATTTTTAATACAATTTTTTATTGGGCCTCAAATCTAATGCTATACTTTTGATAATCCTTTCTTTGTGTTTCCCAGTGACCTATGGTTTTTTATAAAAAATCACGCTCTCTTCTACAATAGTGTGAAGAGGTACAATTTTATAAGAAAAATCAGCCGAATGGAAAAGACATCAATCATAAAGGATATCTTGATGGGTCCAAATGGTTTCGATCTTTTGTTACTTCTCGAGGTCTTGAGTGGTACTGCCAGACAAGAGAAGAAAGAGAAGAGTGAGAAGAAGCTACAAAAACAGGAAGAACAAGGCTACTGAGACAACAACGGGAACAGAAAAAGCAAAGTCGAAGTCAGTATCGAAAACAGCAAATGCAAAGACGACCGGAACAAAGAGCTCCTCAGCAACAACAGCAGCAAAGAGCTCCTCAGCAACAGCAGCAAAAGAAACGGAAAAGACAAGAGCAGCAGCAAGGATCTCCTCAGCAACCGCAGCAGGAAAAGAAACCGAAAATGCATGCTCCCTATTTGGCACCCAAAAGCATACTCAAGTTCAGTAGATGTTCATTCGAGCATTTGGTGAAAAAAAAACTTCAGCAACTTTCTCACGAGGAGCAGACTCAGAAGAAGTCTAAGAAACATGAGCGTATTGATGTAGATAATTCCTAAGTAAACTTTTACTCTTGAGTACTTTAAAATAGCAATCTTAGTTTGTTATATTCTTTTTTGTGTAGCTTGAAAAAATTATTGTAATTTCGGACATTCTGTTTGAGGATTTTCCTGACGCCGTGGGAAAAACTTTTCATGAATTGGGGCTTATCTATTTTCGAGCTAATAATAATGAAAGGTAATGTTCAGCCTCCTCTTTCATTTTGCAACACATTTATCATATTTATTTTTTAACACACGTACCTTTACTGCAGGATGCTGCTAAAAGCCGAACTGGAAGAAGACCCCTATAAACTTGGGGAGTTGAGTGTTGAGTCTCTCTTTGATCTCAATCTTCCTGTGCGTATTAGTTTAATTGAGTTTTTGATTTCATGTGCTTTTATGGCTGGTTTATTCATTCAGAGACATACTGATTACTCTTTCTTTTTATAAATTGTTTTTTTGCAGGATGGCAAGTGGTGGATAACTTTAACTTTTGATTCTTTTGTTTTTAGCTGGGGGTATTGTAATGGATGTTCTTGGGTGCATACACACCCTGAAAAACTTTTATCATACTATTTACATGTGGAGGAGCAGATTTGAAGGGGTGCATGTAATGGATATTATTGCGCATGATTTCATTGCATCAGGTTTATTTAATTTGACTATCCAAATATTTTGATGTATTATTTTTATTTTTATTTTTTTTCTGATTTACAATGTGGTTGAATGAATATTTTGCTTACTAGCTGTTTGTGGTCTAGATTTTGCTGTTGGGTGTTCAAGGGACTGATATGCCAACCTCTCCGTTGTTTGTTGCTAATTATTTCCATTATGTATCAGCTTATCTTTTTTGGTTGTCTCTCCTTGTATTTAATATTAGTTACATTGGTACTTTTTTCCTTGTTTTTTGTCTTGAGGTTTCTGCCCCTGCTTGATAAATATACAGTGTTGAAATGGTTTCAATGTCGCAAATACAATTGGGTACGTTCATGGTGTTAATAAATTGGCTTTATTGATCATAAAACTGATTTACTATTTGACAGGACCTACTATTATTATTTTTATATTATGCAATATCTTTTAATTCCTTATTCTCATTGTTTTGACAGATGTTCCAGTCATTTCCAGAGCTATGGGATCTATAAAAGAGGTATTTTAGCAAACTATTTTCCTTCCAAATTTTGTCTTCTATTACTTATATGTAGTCTTTTGTGTTGATTGTTTGGTAATTTCAAGTAGCATCTGTACTCTCATTTCTATGTATTACTCACTCCTTATATAAAAATATGAATTGTATTAAGTCAAGTATATTCATTTTTTCATCTTTAATTTTGTCCACTTCAATGTGATTATGCCAGATTGCTTGCACATGTTGCAAGACCTGTTTTAACATTTTTAGGCACTTTATTCTTTTGAATTTCTTAGAATAGCAATTATTTTTTGGTGTAATTTGTGTTACTTTCTTACAGATAGATACATGCAGTTAAGTTTTCAGCTAAATTTCGTTATACAGTACTTTGTACCTTCGAAGTAACTTAGGTCTCTGATTGAACAAATTCATGTAGGTCTCTGATTGTAGTATTATAAATATGATTATTTCGACTTGGTAACTTCATCAGGCCATTCCGGTGACATCATGATCTGGAAAGATCTTAGATTGCTGGGGAATAATTTCTCTTATTCTTTTTTTTTTTTTTTTCTTTTTTTTTGGTAGTTTGAAACTTCTGGAGATGTTTGGATGTTCTTGGCACGATGTGTATTCTAATTTGTTATATATTCCCTTTTCTAAGAGGGTTTCAAGTTGAAAGATGTGAAGGTATGGTGTCATGTACACATTGCAGGTCATTCTTTGTCAATGTAATGGATCCTTGTTTCTTATGGCTTTCACAATTATTGACATACATATTGGGCTTCTAATTGGTTTCTTTTAACATTGCATCTTTTATACCGGGGAATGTAAAAGAAAAAACTGCTCTAATTCTATACAAGTATAGGTGAAACTTTTTATACACTAAATATTCGCAATAATCTTTGAAAATAGATGATGTTTCACTAGTAACTGTACCAAATTAGTAAACTAAGTCATGAGGATTTAAGTTGCATTATTGTACACATGCATACAGTACCAAACTTATAGAAAAGAAATTGGTGATTTAAGTTGCAATAATCTTAACATGCATGATTAAGCTTCATGCCATTTAAACCAAATGCCACTGTTCTCGAATCTTAATAATACGTTCGGGACGTTAACAAATCAGTTCGGAGCCAATCGGAATGCGCACGTGGCAAAATAGGCCATCAGTGCTCGAGCACACCCGTACTGGGCTCGAGCGTTATTCCCCATAAAATAGCGCTCGAGCCTTGTTTTGGGAAAACAGCTCGGGAGGTCCGTTCTTAGCCCTGAAATCTGTCGTCAAGGGTCTTAAAACATGTTTCTATGTCCCATAAGCTTCCATTAATTTATTCTAAGTAAATTAACCTGTATAAAACAAGTATAACATTAATCTATTCCATTGATTTACCAAAATCATATAAACATGCACTTATATATACATCAGGGCTGCAACACGGGTGGGTTGGGCAGGCATCTCAGGTTCAACCCATATAGAAATTCTTTAGCCCAAGCTTAGCCCATACATAACTATTCCAGCCCAAACCCAGACCGAATTGAATTCGGATTCAAAATATATAACCCAGGCCCAAACCAAAATTAGAAAACATTGCCCAAGCTCACAAAATTTCGGGCTGGGCTCGGGTTATTTCGGGTTAGGCCCACCCGAGTTGCAGCCCTAATATACATACACTTATATATCTCTGTTTTCGCCCGATTTATACATGCAAACAGATTTATTCTTTCCGTTACAAATCCCAAATGTCATACTAAAGATTTATGGACATGAGATCAAAGGGAGAAGTGTAGAATAAAGAACTTGCCTTACGGTTTTCGGATTGAAAACCAACTCCTCTCCTTCGTTCGTCTTCTTCGGTGCCAGCAGCCTTTGGGTTGCCGTCGTCTGCTCTCTACCCGAACACATCCCCCCTCTCTCATCCTTGGCCTCGAGCCAGGATGCACTTCAAATATCTAATTTGAGACACATTTGCATCACAGAAAACCAGGGTGTCATCTGTAAATAGCAAATGAGAAATCTCCACCTGATGGTCTATATCTCTTCCCACCCTGAATCCCTTGATGAGACCAAGATCCTTTGCCTGCGCATAAGTCTACTTAAACCCTCCATAACAACAAGAAAGAGGAAAGATGACAATTGATCACCTTGTCTTATACCCCGAGTGCACCCAAAGAAACAAGCGGGAGAACCATTCATAAGAATAGAGAATTTGATAGTCGAAAGACATTCATTAAAAAATAAGATTTTTTAACAGTTTTTACTGTGATAACATTTTAAACTACACAAGTTGGTTAATTTGGATTCCCACTAGTGTAAAAAGATGTTACGAAAAACATTGAACATTAAATTTAATTAGACTAGACTACCGAGTGGCTTGAATCATTTAATATTTTTTCATTAGTATTTTGCTGGATAAAAAAGGAAAAACAAATTTTCCATAATTTAGTTTATACTCTTGTGCAAACACTAGAGTTGAAAAGATGTAAAAAAAAATGGAGCTATTCTGGAGAAAGTTGAAGATTTTTAGAGAGTGTGATCGTTAATTACACGCTTATATACACTGAAGATAGAGTGGGGGATCCAACCAACCCACAAAACCACCACATACCAATCTCACCAGATTCAACTCAAAAGATTCTTAGATCAAACCAGCAACTTTATCCATTTTCTGCTTTCTTTCTTCGAAATAATATATTTTCTTTATCTATACGAGTAAATGCTATATGTTTATATATAATGAAAAAAAAGTGATTATTTTGTGGCGAGAGAGGAATATGAGATCCTTTGAGGGAAAGGAGTCCCTATTTGGTCTCTTATGTACATTATTCTATCTTCCTTATTCTTTTGGGTCAATGGGTAACTCTATGGATAGTCTTTTGGATTTTGTGCATAGTTTAAAGTTATAGTGTTGTTTTGGACGGCTTTTGTTTCCCTGGGAGCGCTTTCCTTTTGAGCGCCTTTTATGATATTGGTCTTACTTATCAAAAAAATAATAATAAATTTAGTTAACAGAGTTCTGTGTGCTTTAAGCTTAAAGTAGTTATCTAATAGTCTAATTTAAGCAGAATTTGCTATAAATATAGATACTTAGAGCTCATTATATACTTATCATTAGAGAGACGTTACGAAGTTACATATATATCTATATATATATAATTTTGGTGGAGTAATGTTGTGGTGTTTTTTAAAGCTTTGCCGACTTTTAGTTTGGTGGTTATGGAGAGAAGCATTTAGAGAGAGAAAAAGAGGTGAACAGTTGTGTAAAGAGAGAAACATCTTGTAGAGAGAAAAAAGGATAGGGGTGTGGGGATGTGGAAAGTGAAGAATGAAGTGAGCAGAAAGCAAGAGTTGTAGAGAGAGAAAAAGAGGTTTACAGTGTATTTGGGTGACAATTATGCATCTGTTGCAAGTTTTTGTTTAGGTAACTTAATTTATGTTTAGGCAGGTTGCAAGTGGGTACCCACTCTCAACCTACTAACGATGCGCTAATTATATCATTATTGCCAACTGATCTGTTAGTGACCTGTTTATCTAAATCACTCATCCAATATTCATTAACTAGCGCGGGTGGGTTTGGGTAATAATTGCCACCCCCAGTTCTACCCATATGTTGTGGTGATCTATTTTTTCTTTCAACAACTCCGTTTTGTTAAGTTTTGTTAAGGGGTTTTAAGGGCACAATGCGTTTCGGGCCACCACATCACAGGACTCATTAGCTCATTATTTAGTATGAATTGGTGAAATAAAGGAAGATAAAGTTGGGGTGGGGGTCTACGATGTGATACTCAAGTATAAGTTTGGGAGAATGAGGGTGAATTGGCTTCCTCTCTTTTTGATTTGTTTTCCGAGTGAGGTAATAAAACCCAGGGAGACTAGTTTAGAAGCTCTATGTAAGCACCAACTTAAAGCCTATACGGAGAAGAGTTTGTTTGCTTATGAGCAAATAAGGGATGAGGGAGCTGAGCTGGTATAATTGGGGCATATCTTTGGCTCATCCGGAATCAACTAGATCCTGAGGTATAACATTGCCATGTGGCCCATGTCTATATGCAACAAATAAGGATTTTTTTCTACACCTTTCTTAATTATGCAATTTTCATGCTTGAACACCACATTATAACCTTTATCTCATAATTGGCTGGTAATAAGCAAGTTATGCTTCAACCCATCAACTAAAAGTACTTTATCAATAAAAGTGGAGGAAACATTACCCACAATGCCAACTCTAATAAGTTTACCTTAGTTGTCCGCAAATGTGATGGTTCCTCCGATTATAGGTTTAAGAGATGAGAAATTAGAGGGATCACCATTCATGCGTCTTGAGCAACCAACTATCAAGGACTATTTGCCCTTCAAAAGAGAGGACGAAATCTTGCAAACCTACAAAATATATCATGCAACTCTTGACAGACCCCAGTTGTCATTGGGTTCATGTAGGTTAGCAATACAACAGGAGCATCCTTTAGGTAGTTACTTTCGATTGATGTTTCCCTTGCGGAAGCTCTTCTGGATTGAGTTCCTTTAGGAGACCAGACCTTCTTTTTGGAGGATCTCCTCTATTTTTTTCTTTTTTTCATTTTTTTAAAAAAGTTTATGTGTCTTTACTTTTTGTTTTTTTCTCATCACTTTGTTCACAAGTAGTCGTTGAGAATTTAAAGAGGTGGCTTTGACAAACATAATTTTCAAGGAATTTTGCTTTGAAGTTGGGTCCAAAAAAAAATCTTCTAGCTTCCAAGAAGGATATTCAGATTTCTTGTTCCATTTGTGAAGTTAGCAAAAGTGATGATTATATCATCAAATTATTTCTTTAAAACGAGTTTTCTTTTCATGACTTACTGATGATTCATCCTTAAATGAAGTTACAGTTCTTTCCTTTTCAATTTGTTGCTTTGAATTTGAGCATTTGAAAGCTCAAGGGAAAAAGATGTAACCTTTTTCTTCAGTACTACATTTTTTAATGATGAATTCAAAAAATCTAAAGAACACTTCATTCTAGTTGTTGCAATTATAATAATTTATTTTGAAATATGAACTTGATAATTGAAATTAATTTAATAACCTAGATCATCTAACATTAGAATTTATTTAGCAGTTTAGTGAAAGCTTTACTTTGTGAAGAGATAGTGAATTTGAAACAAGTGGTTAAATAGAGAAAGTTATCCTAGGAAAAGAGTGGGTTAATGTGAAAATGCCATGCCGATTTATAAAAAGGAAGTCAAGGGAGTTCAAAGTATTCATAAGATTGTTTAAATTTTTTTTTTTTTTTTACTTGCTTATTTGAATGCTAAAGTCAAACATCTTTTTATTATATTAGATTACACAAAAAACAAATTTTTTATTTAATAGAGTACTAAAATTTAACTGGTGTGTACGTTAATGTTTAAAAAATTAGGTCACAAGTGATGACGTTACTATGAGCGATTTCACCCCACTAGGGGAGATTTCAAGCGATAGTGACTTTGTCCTTTTTTTTTTTTTTTTCGTTTGTGACGAAATCTTATTTAGAGATTGCAAGGATTCCAAGAATTTCAATAACTGGGGATGTGAAGTCGGCAGTTCCACATCGAGGACCATCTTTGTACATCGACGGGGAGTTTGTCGCATGGAGGAAATCAGTTCTCTCATCTTGCTTAGTCGGGCATTTTGACAAGGAAGTTGGGGGTTGTGATCGTGTGGAGGAATGGGCTACGAGAGCATCGAATACGTCCTGTGGAGTGGGGGTTACTTCATTATCTGATTCACTGCTCCTTTTCAGGTTTCCTTCTCGGGCCGAAGCCCAATGTGTGTTGAAGGAAGGCCGACGTCAATGGGGTTCTGCAACCCTGCGGATCGATGTATGGTCTTTTAGGGTTGGTTGTTGCAGCGTCCTTAGGGAAAAAGGTCTCAAACAGATCCGGCTGTTTGGACTTCCCCTTCACCTATGGTGTCATGCTTTATTTGTTGAAGTAAGGGAGTTGTGCGGCGGATTTGTGGGAGCTGTTACTAATGAAACAAAGGATGCCGAAAGTGTTCGGATTACAGTGAGAATAGGATCAACCTGTCCGCAATTTGTGTTTATTAATGATGACACTTTTTGTTATAAGGTGGTGATCTTGGAAGAAATTGCGTCGGCGTTGGTTCCTTCGACAGAGAGTATTGAAGGCGGCAACGGGCCTCATCATATGCCAGAGAAAGAATAGGTGCGAGGAAGATCAAGTAAAAGACGCGCCGGTCACGAGCGTCATAGTTAATAAGGATAAATCTACACGTGGCGCTCGTAGAGCCTCAATTCCAGATTCGACCTTATCCTTATCTACAAGGGTTGGTGAGGAAGCTGGGTTGGGCCGCACAAATTGGCCTAAAGTTGATTTGGGCTAGAGGGGTTATGGGTAAACTAAAGCATTAAGGTTCAAGCTTGATTTTGGGCCTAAGCCAACCCACACTAAAAGACGGGTTCTTAGATGACCCAACTCATTTTCTGTTTCAGTTCTTAACGAATTAGATCCAAGGAAAGCCCATGTTAACACTCAAACCCAATATCAAAATCTCATCTTCTTCATTTCAGCGTTGGAATAAGAAAGAAAAGTGGAAACGGCCGGTTGCCTCAGCTAGACGACAAGGTACCCGATGGACTCGTACTGAAAAACAGAAATGGGCAGCACGCTCTCCTTCTCTTTCTCCAGGTTCAACCTCTGTCTCTCATCCTAAGAGCTCATCTTCTACCCCTTTTTCGTGTGAGGTGATGGGAAATGGTGAAGGTGGAGTGGAGGATCGTTTGGATCAAAGGAGAGGTCTTTCTGAAGCCATTGTTCCACGGGATGAAGAATCACCGTCTTCAATGACCAAGTCCGAAAGTATTAGTTGTTCTAATGGGGTGACAGTTTGTGTTGGACGAGACCTTTATTTTAAGTTGACAGATGATTTAGCCCTGTCTTTACTTAATGAACTTAAGCTCTGTGTTACTCTAAAAGGCTTAAATGGTCTACCTTCCGTGATTGGGATGAACTCTACCCATGATTTAATGACAAATTTTACGGATGACCCTGGAATAGAGTTGAATCTGCAATTAAACTTGTATCAGAATAGTGTTGAAAGCAAATGGGAAGACTTTGAAGATTAGTCTCAACAGATCTGTCCTCTTGCCTGGGATATTGATCAATCTGATGTGGACATTATGGAACCCTTAGCAACTGTACACCCAGATTGCTTAAAGACGGTTAACGATTTAGGTATGGATTAGGTGTTGGATAATATTGGCGAGGTCAGCGAAGCTTTGGGTGTCTCCTTGGAAGGAGATGATGATCGAACACAAACCATTCTTCATGATATTGTGGCAAGAAATAATAATACAGAGACCTCTAAAAGCACAAAAGTTGTTAAAAATAGGAAACATGCACATCAGAAAGGTGATTAGGAGGTTAAAAACCTTATTTCTAATGTAAATTACGAAGGGAAGGATGGGGTGAATAAAGAAAAGGGAAGGACCAGAAGTGGGAAGCAGGGAGGAAGGGCATTGATCATTTTTGGTTCATAATGAAGATATGAATTATTACATGGAACGTATATGGATTAAATGATCCGGACAAAAAAAAGGTGGTTAAAGTTGCTTTGAAGAAGTGGAATGCCCATGTTATTTGTTTGCAAGAAACCAAGTTGACTTCTATTTTTGATGATGTGGTTAGAAGCCTTTGGGGAAGTAGGTTCGTGGATTGGGAAGCCTTGAACGCCTTTGGTACATCAGGTGGCATTCTTATTATGTGGGATCATAGATGGATGTCCAGAACGAATATATGGAAAGAGCTATTTTCTTTGTCATGTGTGTTTCAGATTGAAGATGATAATTTCAGTTGGGTTTTTTCTGGAGTTTATGGACCCGTTATTGATTGTGATAGACCTATTTTTTGGCAGGAACTTAGCTACATTAAGGAATTATGGTCGTTGCCTTGGTGCTTAGGCGTGAATTTCAATTTTGTTTGGTCTCTATTTGAGAGATCCACAGGGGGGAGGTGGTCTTCGGAGATGACCCAGTTCTTTGACTTTATTGATGGTCACCTTCTTATTGATTTGCCTTTGGAAGGGGGAACTTTCACTTGGTCTAGCCACAGAGAATCAGTTACTTTATCGAGGCTCGACAGATTCCTGATTTCTGGAAATTGGGAGGAGAAGTTCCCGGATGTCACTCAGGCAGCTTTGGTTAGAGTCACGTCTGATCATGTGCCCTTAGTTCTGAATTGTAGAGGTATAAGATCTAGACGGACTCCATTTCGTTTTGAAAATATGTGGTTGAGAGCTGAGGACTTCCAATGGAAGGTCCAGTCCTGGTGGGAGAAAGTAGTGTTTACTGGCTCTACTGGCTATGTGCTTACTAAGAAGTTTTAGATTCTCAAATCTGAGCTTAAGTAGTGCAACAAAGAAGTGTTTGGGAATCTTGAATGGAAGAAAAATAGAGTCCTGCCTGAAATTACTGAGATTGATCTTCTTGATGAGACAGGGCAAGTCACGAAATCTCTACGCTCTAGAAGAGTGTCTTGTCAGGCGACTTTTACTGAGATTGTTACTATGGAGGAGATTTCGTGGCATTAAAAATCTCAGGCTTTGTGGCTTAAAGAAGGTGACCGCAATACTAAATTCTTTCACAGGCTTGCTAACGCTAATAGAAGATACAATAACATTAGGCATATTCGTGTGAATGGTTTAGAGTTGCGGAAAGAAGATGAGGTGTGTGGGGGTATTGTTTCTTTTTATCAGCAACTCTATACCGAGACTTTGGAGTGGAAACCAAAACTTGATGGTTTGCATTTCAATGCTATTTCTATACTGGATAGTGATATGCTTGAGGTTCTGTTATCTGAAGAGGAAGTTCTTAAGGCATTATCCAGTTGTAATGGTGATAAAGTTCCAGGCCAGATGGATTCACTATGCGATTTCTGAAGAAGAGCTGGGAAGTGGTGCTTAATGAGGTAATGGGCACTTTTCAGGAATTTCATTCTCATGGCACATTTGAGAAATCATTAAATGCATCTTTCATTGCTCTTATTCCTAAGAAGGGCAACGCCTCTGACATTAAGGACTTCCGGCCAACCAGTCTAGTGAGGTGTATGTATAAGCTTATTGCCAAGGTCTTTGTTCTTAGAATGCGAAATGTTTTGGATGGAATTATCTCAGAGTCACAAAATGCTTTTGTTGGTGGTAGACAAATTTTAGACTCCGTTCTTATCGCAGGAGAATGTGTCGACTCCAGGTTGAAGAGTGAAGTTCCTAACGTTTTATGCAAACTTGACATCGAGAAAGCTTATGATCACGTGAATTGGAAATTTCTTATTTACTTACTTCGGAGAATGGGTTTGGTGATCGATGGATAAAATGGATTGAATCTTGCATCTCATCAGTTATGTTATCTGTTCTTGTGAGCGGCTCTCCTACTGGTTTTTTTCCGAGCTCGCGTGGTTTGAGACAAGGAGATCCTTTGTCGTCTTTTCTTTTCATTATTGTCATGGAGGGATTGAGTAGATTAATAAAAAAGGCAGTGGATTTGGGGTACATAAGGGGGTTCACTGTTGGCAGAGATGTTGTTAACCAGATTGAGATATCCCATTTGTTGTTTGCAGATGATACCTTGGTTTTCTGTGAGGCTGATGTTTCCTAACTCAGGTATTTGAGGTGCATTCTTACATGCTTCCAAGCAGTGTTTGGTCTTAAGATTAATGTTGGAAAGAGTGTGCTTATCCCAGTGGGGGAGGTTTCCAATATTTCCTCTTTAGCTGCTGTTCTTGGGTGTGGAGTGGGTGCTTTTCCACCCCCTTATCCGGGATTACCTTTGGGAATCTCCTCTATTAGAGTGGGGACTTGGGATCCGGTGATTAACAGGTATGAAAAAAGATTAGCAGGATGGAAAAAATAGTATCTTTCGAAAGGGGGGAAGGTCACTCTTATTAAGAGCACCCTCTCGTCCCTTCCCAGATATTTCTTATCTCTGTTTCAAATCTCGTGCTCTGTCGCTGAACGAATTGAAAAAATTCAGAGAGATTTCCTTTGGGGTGGAAAAGGAGAGGAGTTTAAGTATCATCTTGTTAATTGGGAGCAGGTTTGCAAACCGTTGAAGTTTGGCGGGTTAGGTATCCAGAAGTTGGTCCCTTTTAATAGAGCCTTATTAGGGAAGTGGTTATGGAGGTTCGGTAAAGAGCATCATCGACAATGGAGAAGAGTTATCTCGTGTCATTTTGGGGAGGAGAGTGGAGGTTGGTCCTCTCGTCCTGTTTCTATTATTGGGGGCGTTAGCATTTGGAAGTTCATTCAGAAAGGTTGGGATGTGTTTTCCACCCATATTCGGTTCAAGGTTCGTAATGGTATGAATGTTAGATTTTGGGAAGACTTATGGTGTTGTGATCAGTTGTTGTCTCTTTCCTTCCTCGTCTCTTTAGCATTGCCGAGAATAAGCATACTTATGTAATTGACTGTTATCATCTTGATAACAGTGGATTTACGTGGATGTGCATTTTAGGCGTTCTTTTTAGCATTGGGAGATAACAGAAGTTTGCGTCTTTTTGGACCTGTTGTATAGACACAAGGATGTTGGCAGAGGTTATGATGATATTTTGTGAACTCCCTGCCTTCATGGTAGATACGAAGTTCGATCCATGTTCTTGTGTTTGTCTAATTTTATTGGGCATAATTTCCCATGGAAGTGTATTTGGCGCTCTAAAGCTCTTATTAGAGTTGGTTTCTTTGTTTGGACTGCTACTTGGGGAAAATTCTAACATTGGATAATCTGCGTAAGAGAGGTAATACCATTATTAACTGGTGCTATCTCTGTAAAGCTGATGGTGAGTCCGTGGACCATCTTCTTATGCATTGTCCTGTTGCATCTGATTGTTGGAATCTCATATTCACTATTTTTGGCGTTCAGTGGGTAATGCCTAAGCACTCTTTCCAATTTATTAACGCTTGGAGAAGTTGCCCTGTTGATGCGACCCGAGCCTGTGCACAAAATAATGCACAACACTTTGGTTTTGGAAATGGTATCAAGCGGGCATCATAGTTTACATTTATAAACCGCTAGACACTTATACTATGTAGTATGAAGTGAGAAGGGATCGAACCCAAGAGACCTTTGGCTTGGATTCAAATAAGATAGTTGGTTTTAACAAGTGATTACCATAAGAGAGATAAAGAGAAAATAAAATAGATGGTTGGTTGATTAAGCTAGTGAACAATTAAATTAAAATGCAATGAAAATAAACTAAGTTAGAGTTAGGGGTTTAAGAGATAGAAGAAAATTCTTAGGGTTTATTGGAAGCACCACTAAGCTCATGCAATTAACCACTTGCTTTCCATTAATGGGGAGAACATTGTTGTAATTAAAATGTAACTACAATCAATGGCACAATTTGCATATGTAAGCATGATCATCCAATTCATTTGTAATGCATTGCCTACCTAACCAACAAGTAAACTACGTGTAGGACAACACACCAATCTTGAGGCTTAACCTATCTCACCAATCCACAAATGCATCCAATGAGAGCACACATCAATGTGATAACACAAATTTCAATCATGATGATGGATTGATTAATCAAGTGTAGATTGTCTACCTAATGACAAGTAAACTAGGGTGTAGTACAACCTATCAAGACAAAACCATAACCAAACAAATCCATTGACCATTTGCATATAATCCACAATAAAAAAAGATGATACAAATTACATATAATAAGTGTGGAATATCAATTTCAAGTATGAATTGTCTAATCATAACACAACCCATCAAGAATAAAGTATAAACCATCAAACAAGTCTAATCATAACACAACCCATCAAGAATAAAGTATAAACCATCAAAATAGTTAACAATTGCATCCATTAAATACCATGTCATGGTCTTCAAGTATAATTCTCAATTAATAACACATAGACATGAAATTAACATAGAGAATTAATGAAAGAATTAATCTTTAACATCTAATCATGAGTATAAACCCTAGATTGATCACACATAGACATGCAACCAAAGATAGAGAAATAATGGAAGGATTAATTAACATAAATCTTGGAACATCCAAGTATGAAATCACAAGACCACAACATCAACTGCAACAATATATTAATCTCCCTAGAAATAGAAATTGTAAAGGTTTAGATTACAAGAGACTTAAGGCTTAACCAAGCCCTAAGTGGAGAGCTAGCCCATCATGGTTGTGGTAGTCCAGGTGTCAACAAGATCCACCTCCATGCTTTGCTCCTTCTTCTTCTTCTTTGATGCTCAAGAGAGATGAGTGTGTAGATATTCTTCCAAACTTGTGCCTCCACTCTTCCCTCTCTTCTCACCCTAGCCTGTTCTCCAGAGAGAACGTGATCTCTCGGTACAGAAATAAAATAAAATTCAATAATTCTAATAATATTCACCTAAATAAAATAAATACTAACCCTAATCTAATGGCTCACTGGGCCTTAAGTAACAACCCTATTAAAGCCCAATAGTACACAAAATAAGCTCAAACAATAAAAAAAAATCTGTAATGTTGCCAAGTCCTGGGGGATCGATCCCCCCAGAGTTGGAAATTTCCTTTAAGCCCTATTTAGCTCCATTTTGGCCCCGAGCTCATTAGTTTGCTTCTTCATCTTTGGGAACATTATCAAAGGTCTGAGATTGACTGCTTTTGAAGAATAAACACACTATACAAGCAATGGGCTGCGACCTTCTTTTTGCCATTTTCTGAGCTTTTCTGAATATCTTTGCTTGACTCCAAAAAGGCTTTAATGGACCGTTCTTAGCTCATTTTAACTTTATTGCCCTGAAATACACATAAACATAAATTAGGACTAAAACATGAAATTAAGATAGATGCAAAGACTGAAATACCCTAGCTCAGGTGCTGAAATGTGCAACATTTAAGCACTTATCACCTGTTTCTGGTCATACTCGTGATTTTTGGAGGGTCGCCCCACACTGTGTTTGGTGGTGTATTTGGAGAGAGAGAAATAACAGAAACTTTGAAGGGAAGGAATCGTCTTTTGCAAACCTTAAGTCTCTTATTCTTCGCTCTCTTTTCTGTTATGTTAGAGGCAGCGCTTGCTCCTCAATTGATGATTTTTTTTGTTTTATTGGACTCTGTTGATCCGTAAATTTGGCTTTTGCTCTTTCGTTTTTGTGTATTAGGGACACGTTCCCCTTTTGAACGTTTTTCTAATATATTTTTACTTATCAAAAAAAAAAAATTTAGGTAATTTGTATTAGAAAAATCTGTTATAATTTCATATGCATGATCTTCCACACTTTTTTTTTTTTGATTAATAAGGTTTTATAAATGGCGCTCAAAAGGGGAACGTTCCCAAAGAAGACAACAGCCGACCAAAATCGACTCTATAGCTTTAAGCTATCCACAAAATCCAAAAGACTATCCATTGAATTACAATCCCGCCCATATACCCAAAAATATAAAGAAGTAAAAATATTGTATTTAATAGCCCAAATGGGAGACTCATCTCCTTCAAAGAATCTCCTATTTCTTTTGCGCCACAGACCCCGACCGAATATAAAAGGGAGTGGTCCTCCAAGCATCTCTGACTCGGCTCTGTACACCCTTTCCAAGTCTCTAACAGGTCAACTATGGATTCTGGGAACACCCATGGAAGACCAAATGCAACCAAAAATATAACCCAAACATCCCTCTGAGTAATGAATAAGGAAATGGTTGACATATTCCCCTATCTTCTTGCACATGTAACACCTGTTAACCACAATATGACTTTTTTTTATAAGGTTATCAATAATAGTAAGGATGCTTCCCAAAGCGACAGTACACGGGAAGAATGCCACCTTCAGTGGAGCTTTCGTCCTCCAAATGGCTTTCCAAGGAAACATAGGCCAGGGCGCTCTAACATGCATTTGTAGAAGGACTTGACCTCGAACACTCCTCCCAGGGTACCCACCTACAGCATCTCTTCCATGCCCACCCCCACCACACCTATTTATAAATGAATGCTCGGAAGTCTATGACCTCCAAAAGTTCCCAATAATGAAATTATCTACAAAACTGCACATCCCAAGTCACCTTCCCATTATCGAGTCGATAATAGTCAGCGACCACCGCATCTTTAGCCACAGCAATTCGGTAAATACGAGGGAATCAACTAGCTAAATTCGAATCCCCATACCATCTGTCTTCCCAAAACTTGACATTACTCCCACTTCTAACTTTAAACCGAATACGTTTGGAGAATTCATCCCAACCTCTACGGATAAGTTTCCGAGAGCTTATGCCAGCTGGGGTTCTAACCTCCCTAGAAATTCACCCTCCATCGCCCTCCCCGTAATGACAAGCTATAACATGCCTCCAAAGCTTGGACCTTTCTCTCTCGAACCTCCACAATGATGTAAAACAACTCGCTCATGATTATCTGACCATATAGGATCATTGCAAATCGGGGAGGCAGAAAAGGCAAGGAGAATAGAAAAAAAAATAAATTAGGAAAAGTCAAAAGGAGATTTAGTGTAGTTGCCAACAATAGAAGATATTATTCTCCATTGCCAAAATTGAAGAGGATTCAGAAAATAATTAAGAAGATTTGGTCTAGTTGCCAACAATAGAAGATATTATTCTCCATTGCAAGATTTAAGGAGGATTATGCTCCATCAAATCGCAGATTTCCCATTTAATATTATTTCACGAATGCTTTTTTTTTTTTTTTGACTTGCCTATATAAAGGCAAAAGATATAAATCTACACACATCATCATTATCAATATAATTTCAGTTTCTCTCTTGTGAGTGTGTTCTTTGTGAATTCAAGTGTATAACCCTGTTATTTATTGTTTCCTCTACGTTACACAACCACTTGCCCAACAACGCCTTATTAAACACATCCAGCCTTCGAATCCCCAAACCCCCTTATTAATAGGGGAACGCACCCTCTCCCAGTTAACCTGGTACTTGAACTCATCTCCAATACCCCCCACAGAAATTTTCTCTGAATATCATCAAGTCTTTGAACAACTGTTTTAGGCATCGGAAATAATGACATATAGTAGGTTGGGAGATTTGAGAGTGCTTTTCATAAGTGTAACCCTCCCCCCTTTAGACAAGTATTGATTTTTCTAACTTGCATGCCTCCTCTTAAACCGCTTAACAATCAAATCCCACATAGAAACTCTCCTCGACGAGGCTCCCAAACGGAGTCCCAAGTAGGAGATCGGAAAAGAGCCAACACCCCACACTCTAGAGTGTCAACCAAGGCATGAATATCACCATACAATCTCACTTTTCACAATGTTAATCTTCAACCCAAAAACAACTAGGAAGCAGGCCAACACGCACCATAAATACTTCAATTGAAGGAGGCTAGCATCACAAAAGACAATGGTGTCATCCGCAAAAAGCAGGTGGGAGATGACCAATTGATTCGGAGCTTTACCCAACGAGAATCCTTGAATGAACCCAAGATCACCCGC